GATCGAAGAATTCTTCGTTTACTACACTGAATTCTCCAGCTAATGTTCGGTAGACTAGGACTGTTTTTTATTCAGACATGGAGATGCTTTCAAAATATTCTCTGGTAATTACATCATTCTCCTGCTACTAGTAGTGAAAACCCTGAAAATGTTTCCTTTCACAATGATTTTAATAATTCTCTAAATCTTTTCTCTTGATTATGTGTTAAACTATTAGGAAAAAACTGATGCTCTAGAGTCACTTCTAATCTTGTAGTAAATAGTTATATTTCTTCACATGTCTGATATTATTTTTATACTTATTGTTACATGTACCATACCTTATATTTCGTCAACTCAGTCTATGTAATTAGTTAATTTATACTTACCTTCATTGTATTTTACTTTCGATCCTGGCCTTACTGTTACTGTTAACTGTATTTTTACTCTGAGGGAGCCCAATGTCTATAAGCCTCATGGTTTCTTTTTGGGCTTCCTCACCACTTTCATTTACTTTTGTGTAACTGTCCTGTTTTATCGTTATTTGTATTTTGTGGTAAATCAAATAAAGTTACAAAGTTATAAAGTTACAAAGTTACAAAGTTAATGAATAGCAGAATTAACAGTTTGTACCTCCTTGGAAAGTGTGATAATTTCCGGCAAGAAGTTTACTTTCAGCTTCAGAACATTCCCTCTGCCACCACCTCTGGCTCTTGTGCTTTCAATAGTGAAAATGCGACCCGAGACGCCCAGGTTTCGCTGCTGAACCTACAATTAAAATGAAATTTAAGCAAATAGTCAACTCTCTCTGAAACGTCCACCTCTGAGACCTGCGCTGTGTCCATCCTAGAGAGGTGTCTACTGAGAGTGAGATGACTATAATACCAAAGAAAACCAGACTGTGCATTATGTGATGAAAAGAAGTTATCAATATATTGAAAATTGAATGAAGAATGCCAAGCTACAATGGTAAAGGGTAAGATATCAACATGCATCAGAGAATTTAACAGGTTTTCCTGTGACTAGAGTGGAACACCACCTTATGGCCACCTCGTTACTACAACCACTCTTTTTGGTTGACTGCCAAAAACCGCCATCCATTTTCTTGTAAAAAAACCCTCTTTAATATGGCCATTTTTTTCAGGGGTTCCAATGTAATTACAGATGAATTACCAACCTTTCTTGACCAATCATCAAACAGTTCCTGTGTGTTCAGTTTCTGCCTAAAACTATCACCATCAGCCTTCAGCCTTTGTCCCTCAACATGGTTTTCCCATCCTTTACCCAGGACGTCCTCCACACGCCGCATGTAAGCAGATAACTGACGGTCAATCTAAAATAAAAAGAAATAAATCATTGTATTAGTATATGAACTCAGGTTTCTACCTTCCCAGAGATCCAGCAATGTTCCCTTTGCGATGCAAATTCTGACAAAATTATAACCCTCATTTTTGCCCTGGCCTTGGAGGAAATATAGACATCATACAGCTCTTAAGTGAGACTACAATATATCCATGTAGTACTTACTTGTCGCGCCCAAATGATGGAACCAGAAACGGGAGGCAGATCTCTCACTTTACTCATCTTGCAAGCTTTGCTGTAAGGATACTGGACCTACAAATATAGTAAAAATGAGTCAAAATCACCTGACCTTTAAAAAAGTAAATATGCTAAGACTTCTTAGAGCAATAAAATGTAATTGGACAAAAATCTGCTTAATTTAGCCCTTAGAATCATCATGATGAAATAATGTCAGTCTTAGTCAAAAAATATACCAACATGATGTGATGGTTAAGAAATCCGCCACAATAATTCAAATTAGACACAAAGGAAAACCATACGTAAAGACTATCTTAACATGTTTTAATTTTTTTTTCCTTCAATCCTGCTTTCTAAATTCTGAATAAGTCATCACTGGGGAGTTTCTTTACCTTAAACTTGTCATGGAGGGCCTCAATGTCATCTTTTACTCTCTGGATAAGCTGAGTTTGGTACTCTCGGATAGCACCTCTGATATGAGGACGCACAAACAGAGCATTGAACCTGGAGAAGATCCTGAACATCTCATTAGCATTCTTTGCTGTTCCAAGCTGATCTCGCAAACGAGCTGTGATCCGTGTTTCCACTCTGTCAATGCGCTCATCATACCTGACCAACAAGGGCAAAATATGTGTCTCAAAAAACAATGCAATGGAGTGGTCAACACCAAAACCCAGACCTTTAATTAAATCTAATACACTGAATATCTGGGTCATTTTCTCCCTACTTCATAACACAGAAACTGTTTTAAGCCAATACACTCCCAGAAAGATGACAAGGTATACTGTACAAGCTCAGGAATATCAACGCATTTTAAACACAAAGTTCACCAACCTTTTAATGGCAGCTTCCCAAGCCTCTGAACCTTCTTTTGACACATCAAGTCCATCAACTTCCTTGACATTCTCATATGCAAGGTTTACTTCCTGAATTGCATTAGCATCAGCTGGATCCAGCAATGCTTCTGGCTTAGCCTCTTCATCCTCCACATTTTTAGGGGGACCGCCCGGACTGGAGGGAGTTGCTTGACTGACAGCAGGAGGCTGAAGAACTCGAACAATCACAGCACGCAGTTGTTCATGCTGGCGGCGGAACCTAAATGTCAGTGAATCAAGCAAAATCTTAGCTTCCTTGTAGCAAATTTATAACATTTCTTTTGTGTTTTATTGATAAATAAACTCTCTAACTCCTAGGCCAAGTTATATTGCAGGATAATGTCAGTTGACACTCTTACTTTTAATTCTGCAGACTGCGAGCAGTCCCTTATTTTTCTTTGCAAAGTTAGTCTATGAGTAACCAATGCACACAAGCAGCCAAGACACAAGTCNAGCATTCTTTGCTGTTCCAAGCTGATCTCGCAAACGAGCTGTGATCCGTGTTTCCACTCTGTCAATGCGCTCATCATACCTGACCAACAAGGGCAAAATATGTGTCTCAAAAAACAATGCAATGGAGTGGTCAACACCAAAACCCAGACCTTTAATTAAATCTAATACACTGAATATCTGGGTCATTTTCTCCCTACTTCATAACACAGAAACTGTTTTAAGCCAATACACTCCCAGAAAGATGACAAGGTATACTGTACAAGCTCAGGAATATCAACGCATTTTAAACACAAAGTTCACCAACCTTTTAATGGCAGCTTCCCAAGCCTCTGAACCTTCTTTTGACACATCAAGTCCATCAACTTCCTTGACATTCTCATATGCAAGGTTTACTTCCTGAATTGCATTAGCATCAGCTGGATCCAGCAATGCTTCTGGCTTAGCCTCTTCATCCTCCACATTTTTAGGGGGACCGCCCGGACTGGAGGGAGTTGCTTGACTGACAGCAGGAGGCTGAAGAACTCGAACAATCACAGCACGCAGTTGTTCATGCTGGCGGCGGAACCTAAATGTCAGTGAATCAAGCAAAATCTTAGCTTCCTTGTAGCAAATTTATAACATTTCTTTTGTGTTTTATTGATAAATAAACTCTCTAACTCCTAGGCCAAGTTATATTGCAGGATAATGTCAGTTGACACTCTTACTTTTAATTCTGCAGACTGCGAGCAGTCCCTTATTTTTCTTTGCAAAGTTAGTCTATGAGTAACCAATGCACACAAGCAGCCAAGACACAAGTCACTATAAACAAGGGCGTAAGCCGAGAAGAAAAACTAAGAGGCCTGTCTTTTCTCGTCTCATTCTAAAAATCCCTTATGTTGATGTTGTTATTTGCAATTGCACTGGTTGGGATAAGAACTGGACAGATTTTAAGAGAAAAGGCACCCTCTAAGCAGTCTATTAATTCTGTGGATGGAATCCTATGATGTCACCAAACAAATGAACAAGTTTGCACTTTGACAGAACTTTTACATGGTGCTGTATAATTTTGTTTGATTTTGAAAACTAAAACGTTGAATTTTTTGATACTTTTCACAGTGGCCACTGGCTACTAGTGAAATGATGAACAAGTCTTACTTCCGCATTTGATCAAGTCTTCCTTGAAGTCTCTTGTGGGCAGGGTTTACCCTCCAAACCATCTTCAGACTCTCCTCTCTCTTCTTTTTCACTATGTCTCTCAACAATGTTTGCAGTTTTTCGTACTCATCATCCCATGTAGTGAACACTTCAAAGCACGCCACCATGATCTATGCATTAAAAATTACAGAAATACTTAGAATAAGTTAGCTTTTAACCCTTTAAGTCCCGAGAGTGACCAAAATCCACTTTCTCCTAATGATATCCATACATTGTCAAGAGATTAGGTCATGAAGAGTAATAAAATGATCACCAAAGAGAAAATGCCTTGATCATTTATCAAATTCTCTCAACACATTCTTAAGGAAACGTTTGGAGATCAGTTTGGAGAATTTGTATGTGGATATTGGGACTTCAAGGGTTAATAATGATGGTGCTGATCATAATGATGGCTTTGACACAGTCAAGTCTCTTTCATGACAGACACCACTATAAACTACAATACATCCCCTTAAATTACATTTACCCACATTAATAAACAGACATACAGCACAAAAAAGGAAAAAATAGTAGCATGAATAAAGACCTTTTCAAAGTCCTCATGATTGATGTGCATCAGTCGCCTTGTTCCCAAAACCTGTGGGAGAGAAGAAGTATCTAAGGTTAGCAAACTGTTTAAAAACCAAGACTGCACAACTAAAGTTTGCAGAGATCCAAAGAATTCTTATTATATGCAACATTATTTACCCAGGGGTGTCATTAAGAGGCGGGGGCCGGGGATTTCCCCAGGCTACTATGAACAAGGCCCCTGGCTACTTTCAAAGGAAAATAAAAGAAAAATAGTATCAAAAGAAACCCCTGGCTGTTTGATTCCCGCCTAGTTGTTGTATTTACCCTTCAAATTGAAATCTTAGTGACAACTCTGTTTACCCCCCATACCTTCTTTCTGAAACAAATTGTGTGATTCCAGAAAATATCCATACCCCTCCCCACGGGGGGGGGGGGGGGGGGG